ACTGTACAACAAAAAATTGCATATTCTTTCCAAGCTGGTCACCAACTATTCACTGAATGTAATTTGCTTTCAAGTTTTGTTTATCTGTGGTTAGGAGCAAGGACTATGGAGTCAGAATGCCTGGATTTGAATCTTGCTTCCCCATCTACTAATACTGTAATCTTGGGCAACTTATTTAACCTCTTGGTGCCTCAGTCTTCTCATCATAAAATGAAGCTAATACCAATCTCATGCAGTTGTAAGAATCAAATGATGTAAAACGTGCAAAAGTTCTGCTATGATCTGAATGTTTGTGTCCCCCCTCAAATTCATATGTTGAAATCCTAACCCCTAAAGGCAATGGTATTAAGAGGTGGAGCCTTTGGAAGGGGCTTACGTCATGAGGGGGGAGCCCTCAAGAATGGGATTAGTGCTCTTATTAAAGAGGCTCCAGAGAGATGCTGAGCCCCTTCCACCTTGTGAGGATGCAATGAGAAGCCTGTGACCCAGGAGTGGGCTCTTACCTGACCAGCCTCCAGAGCTGAGAAATAAATTTCTGTTGTTTATAAGCCACCCAGTCTGTAGTATTTTGTTATAGCAGCCCGAACAACTAACACAAGCTCTTAAAGCTATACCTGGCTGGGGCCGGCCGCGTGGCGTGATGGTTAAGAACTGGCTTGGGACGCCAGAGGGCCCCGGTTCGGATCCCACATACGAGGGCCAGTGACACTGCCATCTACAGCTAAGATGCTCAACCTGGAGCTGGGCTGCTGTGAGTCACCTGCGACGGCGTAGGCTGCAGCCCCTGCTGCAGTGGGTTGCCATGGGCTACCGTGTGCAGCCAGCAGCCAGCAGCCAGCGTGAGCGGCCAGCAGCCAGAGTGAGCGGCCGTCCAGAAGCCGGCGACTGATCTGCCTCGCCCGGGAAGAGCGCAATGATGGTGCCAGCTTGGGCCAGTGAAGCAAGGTCCTCCACAACTAGACTGAAGAACAAAAGGACAGCAGCTTGTCTGTTCCCCTTCCCCCAATTCCCCAGCGCTGTTCCCATCCCCCCAATTCCCCCAAAAAAATATTTAAAAAAAAAAAAAGCTATACCTGGCTAAGTGCTCGATAAACTTTGGCTGCCATTGTCAACATCAGCGTCTGTAGCTCTCTCTGTCCCCCTCAGGAAGCTCCTCCATCCATCTAAATATACTCAACTTTCAGCTCAAAATAATCATGTCTAAGAAGTCTCTCTTAACTTATGGGGATTTATAAAAATCCTGCCTAAACTCATGTAACAATTAGGACCCATAGCAACAACAGTATTTTGCAATGATCTTACATAAATTAAATCTTACAGTTAATTAACTTTTCATAAAAAGTTAATCAACTATGTCTTTTCATAAAATTTAAGTTAACTACGTAAGGTATGTATCTTCCCTTCCAAAGTAAACAGTAAATTATCTCAACAGGAAATAGCTACTATTATTTTTATATTGCCCAAAGGCCTTGTTCCAGTGCATGCACTGAGCGGGCACACACTGAATATCTGTAGAAGTCGTTAATGCAACACACACAATTGATGGCTTGTTTGCTATCTTAGAAAATGTTAAAGAGAAACATAAATTATTATCATGCGTCTTTTAGACTGTCTTTTTCTAATGATCAACACATACAACCTTAAGGCAGGAGAAAAAAATGTGTTTTCTGACAATTTTTGTATCTATTACTACTACAAAAAAAAAAGTCTATTCTCAAGAGATGAATACACTCCAGCACATAATTGGAATCACTGACAGAACCAAAGCGGAACAGAATCGTGGGGGGGTGGGGGAGAATTAAGAGTTCCCCTACTCTAATCTGGAAGTAATTAACAAGAAACTCAAAGGAAGTGCACATTTTACTTTGGCAATGTGTTGAATAAACGAGTCCTTCAGTGCAGCCTTGAATTTGGAATCTGGTTCAATTTAACACTAACTAAGTGCCTTCTATCTTTATATAAATCCCACCATCTCTTGCAGCATTTTTAATCTCTACCACTCATTCAAGCAGTTAGATACATAACATTTCATTTCAGTCTTTTATGTGTATATGCGTTAGTTTCAGCACAGGTTACAAGCTCTTTCTTATAAAGCATGGATTTTGACTTCTACTTTTTAAAATTACCTCCGGTATTTGGTAAAATGTTTTACACAGAACAGATCCTCAAATATTTGTTCTGACTGAAGGGCTATCAGCCTTTTACAAATGACATATTAAAATCCTGCTCTTCATTTGCTTCTAGAGTGCTTAGAATAGAAGGTACTGAAATACTGCCTATGTGTTAGCCTCTGATTTGAGCTCTGATTTCTGAGCAGGTGTGTAAGATTAAGCTTTGACCTACAACTTGTACGTAGGGGTGGGGAGAGAAGGATGTGTCACTAAATATATCGGATGCCAACTCTCAGACCAGTAGGGAGAGGAGTATATTATTGGTAACTAATTAGAACTTTCTATTCCTTAATCATTCAGAATAAATAAACAATTACATTATGCTCACTTTTTAAAACCAGATTCACTGTAAAAAACAAACAAGAAAAACAAAACCAAACAAACAAAATAAATAAAAACAGATTCACTGTACTAGCATACTAGCAAGAACCTCTTCCTTACTTCTATTAAGGTTTGCCAACCTCCTTCACTTGCTAAGTAGAGATTAGGCTAAGTCCAGAAGCAAAGAAATGAAAAGTATACATTTGGCCTTTTTTTCTCAAAGGCAAAGAGTTTGTCTGGCTTATGAAGTTAACCAAGAAATACTTAATCAGTGCCGGTTATGCCCAGTTTCAGACATGAATTGCCTGGAGGAAAGATACAAAACCAGAAACACCGCCCATAAAGAAACAAATTAATGAAATGGACTTCATCAAAATTAAATACTTCTGCTCTTTGAAACAGTTAAGAGAATAAAACTGTGAATGACAGATGGGGGAGAAAAACATTTGGAAAGCATTTTTCTGATAAAGCATTTATATCCAGAAAACATAAAAACTGTCTAAACTGAAAACAAACAACCCAATTTTTTAAAAGGCAAAAAGATCTGTACATACATTTCATCAATGAAGATATATGGACGACAAATAAATACACGCAAGGATGCTCAACATTATTAGTCACTGGGGAAATGGAAATTAAAACCACAAGGTATCAGTATACACTTATGAGAATGGGTATCACACCAGGTATTATTGATCAGAATGTGGAGGGACTGGAACTCTCCAGGCGCTGGAGTATAAAATGGCACAGCACTTGGGAAAACAGTTTGGCAATCTTAAACAGTTAAACATATGCCTACCATATGATCCAGCTATTCAATTCCTAGGTTTTTACCCATTATAAATGAAAACAAATGTCCATAAAAAGAATTGTATACAAATATTCAATATTCGTATTTATTTCTCATAACCCAAAACTAAAACAAAAAACCCAAATGTCCATCACAGATAAACAAACTGTTGTACATCCACACAACGGAATATCATTCAGCAATAAAAATGAATGATTAATACATACAGCAACTTGGATACATCTTAAAATAATTATGCTAAGGAAAAGGAGCCAGGAAAAAGAGTACATACTGTATGCTTCCATTTATAGAAAATTCTAGGAAATATAAACTAATGCATAGTGACAGAAAGCAAATCAATAGCTGCCTGGCAATGGGGGCAGGGAAATAGTGCAGGCAAGGGCAGGAGAGAAAGACTGAAAACGGGAATGAAAGAACTCTTAGGGTGATGGGTATGCTCATTATCTTGATTGTGGTGATGGTTTCATGAATGTATACATATGTCAAAATGTATCAATTTGTAAACTTTACACACAAGTAGTTTCTGTATGTCAATTATTCAATAAAGCTATTAAAACTAATCGAATAGATAAGACACATGTGAAAAATTAAAAGAATAGAAAATCTGAGGTATGAATCCTCAAGCTATGGGGAACTTGAAAAGGTGTCTGAGAGGGGACACATATATTAATAGCTAAGTACAAACAAAGGACAAGGGAATTTGCAAAGAGGATTAGAAACAAAAACAAAACAAAACCATGAAGGGGGCGGCCGGTTAGCTCAGGTGGTTAGAGCACAGGCTAGTAATACCAAGGTTGTCGGTTTGATTCCCACATGGGCCAAGAAGCTACACTCTCCACAACTGGGTTGAAGGCAACTACTTGACTTGGAGATGATGGGTCCTGGAAAAACATACTGTTTCCCCAATAAAATTTCTTTAAAAAACCAAAAAACCACGAAGACAGGGAAATGCAGTAAGGCTTAAAAGTAAACTACCCTCTATAAAGTTTTAATTACATAACTTTTAAAAAAAATTGCTGCATGATGAATATGCATGTTGTCTCCTAGTAGGAAAAAAATGCAGCATCATGTTTAAGAGACAAAATATGGGCAAAAGAGCTAAACAGACATGTCTCTAAGAAAGATATACAAATGGTCGGTAAACACATGAAAGGATACTCAACATAATTAGTAATCAGAGAAATGGAAATCAAAGCCATAATAAGATACCACTTCATATCCACCAGGATGGCTAGAATAAAAAATCAGGTAATGACAAGTTTTGGTGAAGAAGTAGTGAAACTGAAATTTTCATTCACTGCTGGTAGGAATATAGAATGGTGCAGCCATTTTAGAAAACAGTCTGGAAGTTCTTCAAATAATTAAACATAACGTTATCTTATGACCCAGCAATAATGTATGTTAAAAATGTAACAGAAACCACTAAATGAAAAGATTAAGTAAAACGAATTTCTTTCTTACAAAATCTATTTTTTTTATTAGTTTTAGGTGTACAAAACAATATAATAGACATGAAAAAACATTTTTCTAAAGAGGGCATACAGATGGCCAACAGACATACGAAAAAATGCTCAACCTCACTAATCATTAGAGAAATGCAAATAAAAACCACAATGAGATACCACCTCACTCCGATCAGAATGGCTATCATCAATAAATCAACAGGCATTCTATTATTTTTAACAGTGGTAGCTTACCTGAGATTCTAGAACCTCCAATTTACGTTTCCTTGCATGAAGAGCTTTACTTGGAAAAGCCCAATAATAATTAGATGTTCCAATCCTCTCACAGTCAACCATACCATCATCAACTAAGCTTTGAAGGACTTCTTTTACTGACATAGCAGCTAAAAGAGATAATTTTTAAAGACTCTACATTAAGACACATCATAAATAAAATTAAAAGGAAAATAACTGAGGGAATACTTGCAATGAATATTATACATCAAGAGTTAATAAATAAGGAACTTTTAAAAATAACAACAAAAAGACAAATACTCCAATAGAAAACAAGAAAGTACACCAATGGGCATCTACAAAACATGCATGGTCAATAAATAAGAAAAATGTTCAACCCCATTAATAATTGAAGAAATATAAAATAAAGTAATGAGATATGATTTCTTGGGTACCAAATTTAAAAAAACTACAAAATATAATGAAGGATTCAGGGAAATGGGTACTCCCAACATGGGTGGAAAAATATGGCAATATGTATCTAAAACCTTAGCTTTATGCATGCCTTTTAAGCAGAAATTCCACTTTTATAAATTCAGCCAAAGAAAACAATGAGGGATATACATAAGGATGCTTGTCAAAGCACTGTTTTCAATTGTAAAAAACTGGAAACCAGTACAATAACTAGACTTTTCAAAGTATCTTACTGAGATAGAATACTATGCTATCATTAAATTTATGTTATAAAATATTTAATGGCATGGTGTATATACATTCAATATGTATTATATAGAAAAATAAGGGTAAAAGACAGTATACACCAATGTGACAGTGGTTCTCTATGAATGGTAGGTTATGAGGTAATTTTTATTTCCTTCTTTTTGCTCATTTTTCTTTTCAACAATAAACATGCATTTTTTTTTGCTAAGAAAACTATTATAAAACTATTATGAAAAATTAAACAATAAAGAAATAAATTGGATATTATGGCTGGGTATAAGATTAAAAATCAGAAAAGTTTTTAAAAATAGCATGTAAAACTACAGCTACATTTTACAAATGTTTGAAATTCATGAACAATTCTTACTTTCTGTTAAATAAAACTGTACCAAGAAATTATCGATGTTTTAATGTCTTTTGGTTTTTCCTAGAGCAAATCCCAATATAATAAAATCTATTAAAAAATTAAAGATTTAATAAATAAAATGAACACCAAATATGCAAAACATTCAACCTCACTTGTAAAGAAGTACAAACTGAAATGAAATGTCAAAGAATTCTAAAAATGAAAACACAATTTGGAAAAATGCATTTGAGTGTAATTTGGAATAGCCTTTGCTGAGGCAATCTGAGAATACTTATAAAAAGCCTGAAACTACACATGCCTCTATTTTCTACTCTATTTCTAGGGACATTTCCTACTGAAGTATGAAATGTGGAAAAAAATTTATGGGGGGTTAGAGGAAGGGATAACTAAGCAGAGCACAGGGGATTTTTAGAGCAGTAAAAATACTCTATAATACCATAATGATGGATCCGTGTCACTAAACATTTGTCCAAACCCAAAGAATGTACAAAACCAAGAGTGAACCCTAATGTAAGCTACGGACTTAGGGTGATTATGATGTGTCAGTGTGGATTCATCAATTGTAACAAATGTACCATTCTGGCACAAGACGGTGATATTAGGAAAAGCTATGCATTGAGGTGGCGGAGTGGGGGTGGGGGGGGCAGGAAGTATATAAGAAATCTCTAGACCTTCCTCTCAGTTTTTCTGTAAACCTAAAACTGCTCTAAAAACTTAGTCTTTTAGAAAAAAGATTATGGATAGCATGTTAATTAATTTTAGCTGCAAAATTTGGGAACAATGTAGATGTTCAACAAGGGATAACGGGCTAAGCAAGTTATGGCACAGTACGTAGTCATAGAGTTAAACAATAGGTGATGCAGATGTTGTAAATCATTTTTTTAAAGCAAATGACATAGGTAAATGTGAATAATGCATTATGTGAAAAAATGCATGAACACAAAACTGTACATGCAGCGTAGTTTTTCTTAGAGAAATGGACAGATACATACACATAAATAGAACCTAAGAATAAGACATCAAAATACACCAAAATGTTAACAGTGTTCTCAGAACAGAGATTATGAACAACTTTTACTTTCATTATATTCTTTATAATTTCCAAATCTGTTAAAATAAGCATGTATAGTTTTTATAATCAGAAAGTAAGGTTTAAAAAAATATGTAGCACATATAGTGGGTTTAACAGTGACCCTGCAAGGGGCAGCCAAGTGGCTCAGTTGGTTAAGAGCTCGCTCAAAAGTGCGAGCTCTGAGCAAGAGGGTCACCGGTTCGATTCCCAGCTCGAGCTGAGCGGTCGCTGGGCCGCCAACAGGTGGCAGGATAACTCCACTTAGAAAAACAAAAACAAAAACAAAAAAACAGTGACACTGCAAAAGATAACTCACAAAACCAGGGAATGTGACCTTATTTGGAAAAAGCGTCTGTATAGATGTAATGAAGGATCTCCAGATTAAATCATCCTGAATTTAGGATGGGTCCCAAATCCAACGCCATATGTCCTTATAAGAGACAGAATGGGAGAAAACAACGGGGAAGGCCAGGTGAAGACAGAGACACAGAGCAGAATGATGTGTCTACAGGCCCAGCACTGGTAGCCACCAGAAGCAAGGAGAGTAGCATGAAATGGGTTCTCCCTCAGAGCCTCCAGAAGAAGCCAATACTGCAGACACCTTGATTTTAGACTTCTGGCCTCCACAGCGATGAGAAAATATTTCTATTGTGTTAAGCCACAAAGTTGGTGGCAATTTTCTGCTACAAAAACTAACATAGCTATATAAAACTAATACACCACATAAAGACAAAAAGTCACATTTAACAAATACTGGAACATACATGAGCAGTTTTTGCTTCTTTTGAAGTAAATTATACCCGTAAATAAATGTGTATATTTGTGTGCACCTATATGTGTGTGTCTGTGTGGACACAGGCATGCATGCATATTCCATTTTACTTTTCTTAGAGCAGACACTCCAAACACAGGAATCGTGGCCGTGGCCCAAAGACATCATGCAAGGACTTTTACTAACATTCATCTCTAGCAATTTATGTTTCCATAAAGTGAAAGACTGTAGCAGAAAAGATGATGGATATTTCCCTAAATATCCCGGCATGTCTTTGATACTTACTAATGCCTTTCTCTTTGGGAGCAATCTTCTCCATGTCTTTTAACTGAAATACATCTTTCTGTTCAAAAGAGTTTTTTAAAAAAGAGATGAAAAACATGTGTTTATTTTCTACTATATATTTACCATAATTATATTCATAAAATATCGTACTGTGCCTGGAAATGAACACTGCAATAGAATCAAGCATTTTGCAGCTAGAAGAAATTGCAATTATCTTGTTCAATACCTTCAAGAGATGTTAAAATGAGCAGAGTTTGCATGAACATACAATTCTTTAAAGTAATCGGAGAGGAGAACATCTCCCCTCCTTTTATATTGAAGTATAAAAACTAGTTATGATGAATCATTTGTTAATGTGAGATAATCAGCTTCTCTGACACTTTGATTTTAAGAAAACACAAACAGGACTTTGTTTAGCATATATCAATAGATTACAGAGATTCAGCAGCTGCAACTAAAATAAAAACATACAACTTTTAAGACTTGTTTACACTTACCGTTTCACGGAAGAGCTATACTTAAACAATAGGAAAATTATATAAATCATGTCTGCCTATTATACAACTATACATACTGCATGTCCACCCAAGCAAAATATTATGAAGAGCTATACATGCAGAACATTTAGTCTTACAGTTGGAAAAAATCTACATAAAATACTCATTTCTTCTTTTAATAAGGTTTGATAATAAGTGGTGAAAAAAACTTGGATAACAAAGTGAACTATTTGAGAAGACTGAAGTATTTAGTAATTAGAAGAGAATTATTGTGATTAATGTTATGGAAATCTGGGATCTATTTCTTCCAAAATAAACTTGAAAAGGCAACTTTAATAGAATGGAACTGAGATTTCATAAAAATTTAATACTTCTGCTCATCCCAAGGCAGTATTAAAAAATTGAAAAGACAAATACTGACCAGAAGACAATATTCACAAAAAATATACCAGACAAAAGACTAGGTATAAATCCATCCCCCTAAAACAAATTGATGGATGGATAAAGGAGTGGATTGATGCATACATATGTGATAAAGCAAGTGGAGTAAAATGTTAATGGTAGAATCTAGGTGTTGGACATACAGGTATCACTATAAAATACTTTCATCTTTCATAATAAAATGTTGGAAAAAGTAACTTCATCTCACTACACTTAAAATTTAGTAAATTAAGGAAAATATGAAGTCATTGGTCTGACAGAGTGAAATAAAAAATTTTTAAAGATTTTATTGGGGAATTAGGGGAGGGGAACAGCGTTGGGGAGTCGGGGAAGGGGAACAGACAAGTTGCTGTCCTTTTGTTCTTCAGTCTAGTTGTGGAGAACGTCATTTCACTGGCCCATGTTGGTATTATCATTGCGCTCTTCCTGGGTAAGGAAGTCACTCACCGGCCATTGGACAGCTGCTCAGGGCAGCTCATGGCAGCTCACGAAAGCTCACACCAACTGCTGGCCAGCCCCACTGAAGCCTACGCTGTCGCCAGCGACTCACGGCAGCCCAGCTCCAGGTCGAGCTGTTATTCACCATCTTAGCTGTAGAGGGTGCAGCATCGCTGGCCCTCATGTGGGATCCAAACCAGGGTCCTGCTGCTCAGAGCTGGTGTCCCAAGCCAACTCTTAACCAATGCGCCACTCAGCTGGCCCTGAAATCAATTTTTGTACACTGGCAATAGACTGTTTAATGGTAATACTTTAGGGTCTCAGAGAACATGAAATGAATTACTTACATTAGGACTCTAGTGCATTAAAAAAATCAATTAATCAAACCTATTTGCAAATACCTTAGATTCTCTGGAAAAAGAACATGAACTCATTGAGATGTCTGCCTGTAGGGGTCATCAAGGAACAGCCCCAGACATACTGGCTGCCCCAGTGGGGTTGCTGTGTAAATCAATGAGCTTGCAAAGAACTAGCCTCAGAACCAAAATGTGGTCATTTAAGTGGACAGTGAAAATGGTCTCAAGTAAATATTAGTTCTCCCCAGCATTAAACAGAGATATTAAAGGAGAGATGAACACAACGGTTCTAGCCAGTAAAAAAAAAAAAAAAAATTGTGTAAGATGCCATGGAAGACACATAGTTATAATGCTATTATAGATAACTTTTAATTAAGCATTTATGACCTAGGCATTGTAATGTTTTACATAGATTATCTACTTTAATCCTTATACCAACACTGTGAGCTGGGTACAATTATTATTATTCCCTTTAATAGATGAGGAAACTGAGACTTAGGTCAAATAACTTCCTTATAGGCATACAGCTATTATATTAAGTAAAATGGACTTCAGATGCCAATTCTCAATTATTGAGCTATACTGTTCCCGTGTTCTCCTTAAGTGTAATAGGTAAAGAATTCTTTTTCTACTACATTTGCAACTTCAAATATACAGAGGGTGCCAGAAAATATATATATATGTTTTAAGAAAGGAAAAAACTTTATTAAAATTGTAATACAATGAATGACGTTAGCATTCATTTGATTAACACCACCTTTTGGGCGACCGTCATACTACTCATTGCTACCATAATTCAATTCAAGTTCAAAAAGTAACGCATAGATAACATCTCTTAAAATGTGTATACATTTTTTTAGCACCCCATATATGTGTATTCATATGAATCAATACATGAACTGAAATCAATCAATACAATTACAGTCATACGCTGCATAATGACATTTTGATCAATGTCCCATAAGATGATAATGGAGGTGAAAAATTCCTATTGCCTAGTGACGTTGTACTCAGCCATCCTCATAGTGCAACGTATTAGTCATATGTTTGTGGTGATGCTGGTGTGAACAAAACTACTGCGCTGCTCACTGTATAAAAGCATAGCATGTACAATTATGTACAGTACATAATACTTGCTAATGATAGTAAACGACTGTTACAGGTTCATGTATTTACTATACTGCACATTTTAACATTACTTTAGAGTGTACTCTTCCTATTTATAAAAGTTTGCTGTAAAGCAGTGTACTGTGTTATGCCAGCAGCAGCCGCACACATCTCGTATTTACTGCATCTCTTGATGCATCATGTTCTCCTGTGCTTGATTTAACCTCATGTTGTTTTGTATAGTGACACGCTGTACAGGCTTGCAGCCTCGGAGCAACAGGCTACACCACACAGCCTAGGTGTGTAGTAAGCTATAGCACTGAGGTTTGTGTAAGAGCACTCTAATGTCTGCACAATGACAAAATTGCCTAACTAAGCCACTTCTTAGAACGTATTCTGTTAAGTGGTGCATGACCATAAAGGAGCAGAATTGAAACATTTTCAATCAGAAACAGCCAGTTTTGATATTTGAGAAAATTCTAATAATATCATAAAGGACAAAATAATTTTCCAACCACTCTCCACAGCTTTCCACTGCCTGGTAGAAATTAAATCTACTTTTCTTGCTTTGAGACCATAGGAAAAATACTTCATCTCAGCAGAACAAATAATCATAACTCTCATGTAAAAAATTCATCAATTTATCCTCCTAATCAGATCATCGTTATTATGATACTCTGTTCTGCACTGCCAAAGATTGTTAGCAAGTCACTTCATGTAAGATTAGTAAGATTACAATTAGAAGGCAAACAGTTTAAAAAGAAAAGCTCCCCAGAATATTTTGCTTGTTTTACTGAGAATCTGCATTATTAAAACAAAAATGTCAAGTATTATCATTACTAGCTAATTTCATATTCTATTCTGCCATTTTTACCACCTTCTTCACATTTGTATATAATGAAAATAGCCAGTAGGTTGGGGCTAGACTAGACTTTGAAGATCCTGTCAAGCATTAGGCTAAGACACAAAAAGCTAACATTTTTTGTAGTTCAAAATTATGGACTTTCACCTGGAAGCAAAGAAAAGCCATTGTATAGAAACAGTAAAGAAACCAGGCTCTAGAGCCAGGTGACTGGGGTTGAGTCCCGCCTCTGCCACTTAGAAGTGGAAACTTCAAACACCTTTCCGTAGTGGCAGGCATAAATATCTGGAATAAGTAAGGCCTATGTACCATCACATATGTTACACTATAGACTGCTTTATAAGTGCACAAAGGCAGTATGGAGCACTGCCTCTAACATTAGATGATCATCCCTGGGTTTGAATCCTGGTACTATCACTTCTACTTTTTGAGATCCAGGGCTGGTATCTTAGGCTGCATCTCAGATGTCCAGATCTGTATAATGAGGATGGTTAAAAATAGTACTGATCTCATAGGGTTAAAAAGGATGAAATCAGATCATCTGCACCAAGTGATTGGCACCCAGGAAGCACTCAGTAGATATGAGCTATTATCATTATTATTATTATCAGGAAGAAAGGGAACACAGTCAAATATATGCTTCAGAAAGATAATTCTGGGTCCAGTGTATAGGACAGTTCTGATAGAAGAGACTGCAAACATTGGGATAAGGTTCTTTTAGACTTCATAGCTTACAGAAACCACAAATACTTGTAGAATTTTACTCATTCTTCAGGAAATAGGTTAGTATTGATCTCTAACAAAAAAATAGTTAACACTGGATGACATATAGATAATGAAAAACTTATGCAAAATTCTAAAAATCTTAGGGAAAAACAACTTACCGTCTCAAAAAATATTTCCATCATGCGGGCTCTCTTTTCCTCTGCACTCAATCCTTTTTTCTTCGACTAAAGCACAGAAATTAAAAAACAAACACTGCATTTTTTTAAATACTGCATTGTAAAACAATTTGGTCTGAAACATTATCAGAAATTTTAGGTGTGGTCGTGTCTGATATCAACAAGTTTGATAACTCTCAGAGGCAGGCCTAGGCTGATTTTAACGATTCTACTACTATATACCAAGTCTTGTGGTAAGTGCTGCCAGTATAAAAATATAAACTGTGATTGAGATGGAGCTGGCATTTTGTAGAAATTCAGTATTTATCAAATGATCCAGTGATGTGTCAAAAGGCACCTTCAAAAGACAATCTCTCAAAGAAAACAGACATAAATACTTACAACAGATGAGCAGCGGCACGCATAAACTGTGTGACAGAATGAATTAACAGGGAGGAGGAGGGTTAGTTCGGAAAGTTAGAGATGAAAAGGACTCTGGTACATTGAGACACGGGGAGAAGGGTGTCCTGGGCAGACCACACACAGGCACAACGTTATGGAAGTACATGGAATGCTCCAGAAAGACTCTGGATGATAGTGTATGGTGCATGTGGAGGAAGTGGAAGGTGAGGTGAGAAAGTTTGTCTGGGGCCAGAAGATGGAAGACTGACTGTCCAGCCAAAGAGAGTGGACTCTATTCTATGCAATGAGGAGCTACTGCACAACTTCTAAAGCAGGGAGTCACAGGATGAGGGTCACATTTTTGTAAGCTAATTGTAGTAGCATTGTGGAGGGCAGGCTGAAGGAAAACCTAAGCAAGTAGAAAAGGGAGCCTACTTCAGGCTACTATTATTCTTTAACTACCTTTCAGCCAGTTTGAAATTAAGATAATTAATATGTAACTGATATATTAATAATAAATTTTACTATATATTACATAGAGAGTATATATAAAGGTCAAGTCCAACATTAAAAAAAAAGGAAAAAAGTCAAATTTCCTTAAGGCAAAGATTCACAGAAAATAAAAGAATGAGAACCATCATTTCCAGAGCTTCTAATGGAGGATTCCACACCAACGTTTCTTAAGTGATCTGCCTCTTTCTCAAAAATTGCACATAAATTGTTAAGTAAGAACTTTAAAACACTTTACACCACTTAAAAAGCAGACATAAATAAAACGACAATTAAAGACTGGCCCTATCCAACCAAAAACTCCATTAGAAAATGTGAGCCTATGAAAGACAGGGAAAGGAGTGTGGAGCTGCCATTCTGAATAAATACCGAAGTACAAGTCTTTATTCTACTTGCATAACCTAGAAACCCACTAACTCGTTTTCACAGCAATAGAATCGTCCAGTGTTCCTTGATGAGTCGCATGGATAAAATAAGTAGCCCAGATGTTACTATGTTTCTCTTTTTCCTCTGTCCACTCTCAAATGCTGCAGTTCCTCAGGGTTCTCTACTGATCCCCTCACCTCCTCACACCTCTTCTTTGAACTCATCTGAACACACCTCAAACCATGAACTCATGGTTTTAACTAGCACTTAACGCTGAGTCCTCAAATCTTTACAGGAGTCCCTGAGGGTGTTCCTGAGCTCCGATCTCCTGTATCTACCTGCCCGCTGGACAGACTTCAAACTCAGGAGGTCTAATCTGAACTCCTCTCCCACATCTACGCCCCAAACCTGCTGTTCTAGCTCTTGAGTTCAGTTAGCTACCACCTCCATACCCCAGCCAGAAGCCTGACAGTCATCTTGGGTTCCTTCATCTTACTCCACATCCAACCAGTCACCAACTGCTGCCAACGTCAGCGCTTAACTATTTCACAAAGCTGTACTGTCTGCTTCACTCCCATTACCTCTACCTCAATTCAGGCCTCCATTATGTCTCCTGCAACAAACCTGCAGTCCCATAAGCACACCTTATCTCACTCTTTAAGTTCACATTCTGCGCTGCCAAAAAGCAAATCTAACCATGCCTCGCCCTTGCTTAAAACCCTTTAGTGGCTCCCAACTATCCAGAGATATCCACTACCCTAGAATGATATACCAAGGCCCTCTATCACCTGACCCCATCTACTCTCTCAGGCACCACTCCCCACCTCAAAGTTTACCATACCAACATGGACACCTAAGCAATTTGGGCTGTAATACAAAAACTACCTGTAATTCTCCCATCGCAGAATGCTCTTGCGCATTTCTGTACCTGAAAAAAATATTGTTCTCTGTACCTAAAATAACTTCTCCTCTTACCTATTCAAACTAGAAGTCGCCCAAGCCTTTGTTGAGACATTCTCTCAGAGAACTTCCCTAAGTTCATAGGCTACGCTCAGTGTTATTCCATGTGTTCCCAGAACACACCTTCATCCGGTCACTTACTACAATTAAAAAGATGTTTACTTGTCTCTCTCAGCAGACTGAAGAGCTTCAGAACGTGAGCTGCCTTTGCCTTCCCAGAGCTTAGTGCCAGCTTAGACAGAGCAGGCATAAAGGCCACTTACTTTCAGGACTATGTGTCTAAAACTCCTAACCCTAAAATTTGAGGCCGTTCGTGCTCCCAAACCCCACAACCACCACTGGACCCCCATAAATATGATGCAGGGTGAAATAATAATTTCTGTGATAACCATTTATAACCTGGCTTGGAGAGATAAATCAGAGAAATCTCAGGTAGGGCAGCACCAAGAAGCCATATAGACCTGTTCACTTAACTGAGGGTTGAAAGCTAGAGTTCAATACTGTTTTATCAGCCTCCCTTCACATTGGCCTCTGAAGTATCTAAATAAACCAAGCATGAAATTCACCCTCAGCTTATTTCTCTAGTTCACTGGGTGTCAAACTGCCATTAGCGTCATCTCAGAAGTTTTAAAAAAATACTGATGCCCAGACACATCCCACATTAACTCAGTCAGAATTTCTGAGAAGGCGCCTCAGCTTGGGCATACATATTTTAAAAACCGTTTCCAGGTGCTTTAATTGTGCCCCAGAATCTGGAGACCATGCCAGGGGCACCTGTGGGGCAGTGAGAATCCCTTTAGGTCTTTAGTGTGTGGCTGCATCAGAGGAAAATATTGGGTTGTCGGAAAAGTCACGACGTAGTTCTATGTTTTTTGTTGCAAAAATGCGTCATGACTTTTCTGACAACCCAATAGATCCAAAGCTTTAGGAAAGGCTCCTAACATCTTGGTATTATATTCTAAACAGTTCCTTGGAGAGATCCACAGACTACAAGAATGTGCCACCCAGATGCAGGCAATGAGGAGAACGCAGTGTCCTGGGGCACAATTTAGGAACCTTGTCACTCCACAGCTAAGAAAGCTACTCAAGAAATATGGATGAGCTGTATTTACATTGTTTTCAGGCTAATTTATTCATTAGCCTCTTTTATGATTACAAGTAGTTTTTATTGTTAACCACGCAGTAGGAGAGCATCATGACCAGAATTAAAATAACTAATGTGAAAGGATGCCATATTAATACATATTTAGAAATTTCTCTAAAAAAAAAAAACCAACAAGGCCTCATTTCATACTTAAGATTAAAGCAAATCTCCCAATAGTGTAAGTTAGAGATGCATTCAAATTAGTAAGTAAGGGAACTCAAAACTTGACTTGAGAACAACAAAGGAACCTTCTCCAAGTGGAAGTTATGGAATTCCTAAATTCAGCCCTGTTGATCAATTACAATAAAATTTTGCAAAATTAAAAGTAGATGGTATCTACTGATCTCAGAAGTGGCAGACTACCCTGCACTTCTTCAATTCCAAAAATATGCCTGGACTTATAATAATTGTTTACTCAACAAGTCCAACCAAATCAAACAGCTATTAATTAATTCACAATCAGGAAAGAGAAGGAAGGACAAAAGTTATCTTTGATCAACAAACACTAAACTTATTTCTTAATCATTAATAAAAAACAGGAAGTACATATCTTACAAGAAGTTTTATTCTAATTTGTTTCTCCATTATCAGAGGTAAGTATCTCAAGAGTTAACAGCACATTAAACCATAAAATATTAGAAGGCAATTCACAGTAGAGATTAGGTAAAAGGGCAAAGTTAATGCATTTGTGCTGCATACCATATTTCCCCATGTATAAGACGCACCCTTTTCAGAAAAATTTGGGGTCTAAAAACTGGGTGCATCTTATACAGTGGTTGTATATTTCAAATGCCATAGATGGGACTGAGGACGAGGCAATATATGAAGACAGTGATTTGTCATCAGACACAGATGAGGACAAGCTAATGGTTGGGAGTTTTGACAGTGATGAGGAGTTGTATGAATTTTATGATGAATAAAACTTGAGCTCAATAACTTTACGTAACATTTTTTTTCAAATTTCGGGCCCCAAAATTAAGGTGCGTCTTATACACGGGAGCGTCTTATACATGGGGAAATATGGTAGTTTTCAGTAGTTATGTTTGGCCAGCAACTCTATAAAGAGAAATATGGTATCAGAGCACTGGTAATATATTTAAGTGTGGTCCTGTTTGGCTTCTCACATCATTGCATGCCCAGGTGGCTGGGATGGTAGTTTAACCACAAAGAAGCCGTTATCAGTTATAATTACATCTGGACAAGTATCTTCATATAAACACCATACCACCTAAATCTTTGCCCACCATTAGCTCTGCAAAATAACGGCCACTTAACTAAATTAAGATATTAAAATCTTAGATCCATTTAATTAGACGTTGATTCTCTGACAATAAAAGCAGAAAAAAATAGCACAAAGCTCTGAAGATGTATGAAAATGATTTGATGAGCAGAAAGATCCAATTCAGAGATGGCTTGGACTCTTACTAGAACTTAACCCATCATGGCATGCAAGGAAGACGAACTCAGTGCAGTGCTTTCCTAATTGACTACCTCCCTACCAACCAGCAGTCTGAAATACAAAAGTGCAACGATACCTGCCTTTCGGTAAAACCCAACGGATTCGCATAGAAATCATCAAGCTGGCATAAAGTGAAGATTCGCTGGGTTACTTTTAAAATTGTAAGCAATGCAGAAACGTGCTCTAATGTTGCAATGCATGAAACGACTCAATTGTCAAAAACCAAGCGAGCTATATTGCATTTGGGATCCAGGGGATCTCTTCGAGCCTGCCCACTGTCTCGCTGGCATTTTCTTTCCCGGATCTTTATGGGGGGGAGGGGGATTTCGGGTGGCCGAATCCGGGGAGCTGGCGCACAGATTCAGGAGCGACTGGTGGTGTTCCGGACAGACAGCAGTTTGTGAGATACTCGGGTCACACTCTCCAACATTTCGCGTGTCTAACCTAAACCGCCGGGGACACAGCCGCGGGGTGCAGAGGGGCAGGGACGGGACAGGAACCGCCGCGGCCCCGGGGCACAGGGGGCTCTCGAGAGCCCCAGCGCGGCGACTCAGCCACCCCGTTCCCGCGGCGGAGGCAGGTGGGCGGGCGCGCGCTCAGGGCCGCCCCGCCGCGCCCGGAAAGTGCGGGGTGGCCACGGCGTCGACTTGGCGGCCCCTCCTTGCGAGGCTTAGGGCCGAGCACCAGCCCCCGAAGCTGGCCAGGGCCAAGATCCCTGCGGCCGGGACGCTGGGGAGGAAGATGACCCAAGAACGCAGCCTCAGATCTTACCATGGCGCCGGCGAACGTCTTCCGGCGGCAGGGCCTGCGCAGGAGGCGAGGGGCGGGGCGCGCCAAGGAGGGTTTGATTTTGGCGCCGACCCCGCCCCGGGGCGGAGCCGCGAAGGGGAGGAGGTGGGAGAGAGACCGGCCTTCGCCCCGACGGCGCGCAGCGTCCCCTGGCGGTTCAGCCGAGAAGCGGGCCAGGGTGGGGCGGGGCCTTCTCACTAGCATAAACAGTTTGGTTATTGCTATCGTCCACAAATTCTACAACGTCCCTTAATTCCCAGACATCACTAAGAAAGAGAATATGTTAAATGAATAAACATCCTGTAAACGGAGATAACAAGCTTTATTATTGTGATTTGAGATTTTTCTGCACGGTAAAGATACACACGTGAATCTTGTTTCTCCTATGTTTCAAGACAATTTAAAGTTTTATTGTAGACTAAAGCATCCAAAATACTGTGGTACTTATGTAGCTACGAACGTACAAACACTTTGATGCACAGCATTTATTCTTTTCTTTAAATAGGCAGTCAGCATTTTGATTCATAAAAGAACAAATGATGAGAATATATCAGTATCAATGTCAGAAAAAGCAAAGACTTAGTGTTCTATACAGAAAACATGAAACAAACCTATAAAGATGGAATGTACAATATTTAAACAGGAAAAAAAAGGAAGCTAAAACCCTTCATACTCATACATAGGATTGAAAGGCTATAGAACTGAGAATGATATAAAGAATTCCATTACAAGAATACACTCGTGTTGATGACAGAACATTCCATGTCATAAAGCAAAAGCATTGTTTAAGGCTGTGTTGCTTTCAAAGGTTAATGGAAGTGCTGTACATTCATTGGAACAACAAAGCCAATTTATTAATAGATTTTAGAATATTAATAGCTTTCGTACATTCTCCACAAACAAACCACACAATCACTGCCACACAATTCATCTTCATAACGTTTAAGATTAATATCATGATTTGTAGCTTACTGTCATTTAAAACAAAAGATTATTTATTTATACCAAACAAATCTTTAATGGGCACTTAGTTCCTTTATGGCAATACTAGATTCCTAGTTATCAAAAATATTAAAGTAATTGTAAAATTTTAAACCCTGCAACATTTACAGAATGCAACAGTATTACAACTTTCAGTTTTAAGCAAAATTAGATAATGTTTGCAGCAAATAGCTTTAATTTTATCCTACCAGGAAATGTCTTTTTAAAATTATTAAACTAAAAATACTCCTCCCCTTTCAGAAGCTGGTGAATAGAGAGGATACTATAGAGTCCAAATGTACAAAAAGATTTTTCCCATTTGAAGAAATCTGCAGATTACTCGATGTTTATTTGCTATTTCCTCCAATTAACTCAGTAGGTATTACCAAAGCATTTATGTGAACCCTTCAATGCTAAGGATCCATGGACACTTGCTTGTGTACTGCAGTTCCAGTTAACTCCATATTAGGACATACCCTGTATAGTTAGTAGTAGAAGCAAGTGCATTCTAGTTTCATGGACCTGTAATATTTATTTGCCTCAAATCTAGTGAAAGAATAAATTAAAATAAGGAAAGTTGGGGACTTGTTTAGTTACTGGAGACTAAAGTTTGCTCAAAATACTAAGTACCATTTAAAAAATGGCAAGCAATCATAAAGGCTTTCTATTCATATGTTTCTGAATGGTCAAGTGACTCTCCTGCCCCATGTCCAGCAGGGGAGGTCTGTAGAGGGTGGGAGGGAGGGGAACTCATTGTCACTGACCTTTACATTCTAACTGGCAATATTTTACGTTAAGTGCCCAGGGGAAATTTGAATGGGTAATTTTTCAGTGCTACTTATCATGAATGTATGACAGGTTCTGTACACTTGACAAAGAGAAATCAAACAATAATGGTAACCCAGAAAAAAAGTCACTTATTTTAATATCCTTCTCAGTTTACCAGAAACCATTTTCCATCAAATGTGAAAAAATTTCACTTAAATCTACTTGTATCTTAGCAGCACTTTTCCCCCTAAAATATGCTTACTATGAAATACAGTAAATGCACATATGTATCCAAATGTGAAATGTTATTTATATTTTAACATATATGATTACATATTTTGAGGGGAAAATATAGTGTTTCCTGGAGTGCCCATAGCATGTGTTTTAGTAACACATATTGTGAACAGGCCTAAATCAAAATATCTATTCTTTCGTTCCAGTTTGTGCCAATATTGACATGTAAAAAAATTAGCTTTGTCTTCAGTCTGCTAATCGAGATATCCAGCCTGCTATGGTATGATGGCTGGTTAAATTCTAACCTCACAAACATAATTTAAATGTTGTACAAAAAAAACCAAAAAACCCTTTAAGTAAACTAGTTTTAAGATCAATTATAGCCTGTGACAGGATCTAAATAGGAAGCCATTTTTACTTGTGAACATAAACTAAAATTAATCAATTTAAAAAGTTTTCTTTTGAACAGTCTAGGAGCTATCAAAAGCCTAGCTTATTTTTTATGTAGAATGTTAGTAAAAGGCAAAATGAAATTCCCTCCCTAGAGTGTAAGCTCCAAGGTAGCAGGAGTTTTGCCTGTTTTCTCCACCACTGTGCCCCCGTGCCTAGAACAGTGCCTGGCTCCTAGTAGGCACTCATTAAATAGAAAGGTTTAAATTCAAAGACTTATTTCACTGGTGCTAGGAAATAGTATCTTAACATTCTAAAAATGTTATTGAATTTTATAACTTGATCACAGTCTCAAATATTTTTGAAAACTCTACCTAACTAAAGAAATACTAAACCTAAATGTAAATCTTTCTGAAAACATATTTTTCCAGGTGGATTTGGGCATAAATTTGATAGACAACTGGAAGTAGCTAGATTTCCCTTCTAAATTTAAAAAAGTCCTATATAAGAGAGTGACTGAATTATAAATTAATAAGCAATAAACATCACATTCATATAATTATACATGGGAAATGTTTTCTATAGTACAGTTCTAAGGTGCTTTCAGTTGAAAAAGATCCCAAAGACACTATCGAAATGCCAAACATGACATCCTATTTGGTAGAACTGAGTAGAAAATTAAACAGTGGAAATAAACCACATCTTATTTTACAGTACCAATGACAGTTTAACGATTGACTAAATTATTCTTAACATTTCTCAAAATGCATTTATATTTTGTTTAAATTAAGCATAACTAGAGTTCAACTTTTCTTTCTTGACTTGCTTTTTGTTTTTTTGAAAGCACAGAAGGCCATTTTTTTTAACCAAAAGTCAGCCGATACCATCATTCCTGGAAAATAGCAAAAATTAAACTGCTTTAGGGCTTGTTCTGCTAGGACAGCTTCAAACTTCGCAGTAAAGGAATGTGCTGAAGGTTGGACCATGCTTCTGTCTTTCAGAGTGCTGCCTATTTCAATACACCAAAGAGTCAGCTATATATAGACATATATATGATACATTCTATCTTACCCTAATCATGTATATATAGTCCTTTAATGCCTCTACTATTCATTAGACAATGATAAATAACCATAACATGCCCTTACCTGTAATGCTTTCACAACTTTGGTAACACTTGCTTTCTAAGGGGAAACCATTACTCAATCACATGCCTTTGGTTGACACCATCAGTCCTCCAAAGGGCTACTTATGGCTCTCTGTCCTAGGATACTGGTGTCCTACTACATGTGCTGACATTTTGCAGGAGGTAAAGCTTTCGCTTTCATGAAGTGGAAGAGGAGGGACACAGGTGAGAACATGGCACAGAAAACATGACTAACTTTTTCTTGATTACATTCCAGTGCATTGATCTGGAGTTGGGCTGCTTGCTTTCCAACAGATAGCATGACTATTGTAATATGCTTTTCAAAGCATTAGGAATTTCAGGTTTCCCTGAAAATGTACTTTGTTGTTTTGTTTTTTTATACAAAAGGAGCAAAAGAGAGACAGTGAAAAGAACACCCAAAAAGGATCTTTGATCTAACCCAGGATGGATGGGACATTTGCATTTATTTGTAAGTATTAGACTCAAGAGGCCTGCAAATCACAGATGAGAGGATTTTTGCAAGACAGTCTTATTTTTTCCTAAAGTAATTACTTATATGTAGTTATTGATAACCAAAAAATGTCACAATACCTACTGTAAAAGTGAGGTTAGAAGATTCTCCTGGGGTCTTGTGACCGAGGTTAAAGTATATAACTACAACAGATTTTATTTTTGTTTTGTGTTTGGAAGCTCTGCGCAAAAGCTACCATCTACAGGATTAACAAATACCTTTAAATATTCTAGTTTTTTTAATGCTTGTTTGATTTGCAAAATTAGCTTAGCTACATAAATCCCTGTCCTATAAGCCATAGTTCACAGGTGTAAAACTTTGCAGTTTTATAGATTCAGTAGAAGAGATCTGCTTTTTTAAACCCTAAAGGTCAATTACAGAAGTCAGATATGCAGTTTTTTAAGGAAATTGTTACATTCAGAAATAACCTTGGAAAGTTCACCAATGATTCCTTCCAGCATGAAAAGTCTAGTATAATCTGGTCCCGCGCCGAGAAATCCATTCCAGTTAATAGTGCAAGACCTTTGCAAGGGGCTGTCCAGCTGCCCACTGTTACTGTAAGTACCGGTAGACCTTGAAACAGTGGTTCCCAGAGTCTGCAACCACAACATGACCGTCTGACGTCAGGGCCAGGCCTTGGGGGCCGTAGAGTGGGTCAGCAGATGTGTTAATATAGGACAAAAACGATCCACTTCCATCAAAAACCTGTCAAAAATATACAGAGTGTTACAGGTTATAGGAAAAGGTATAGTACTGTACTGAAATGGTAATTAGAAAACTCTTGATGCTAATGTATTTAATATAGAAGCATCGCATGTAATCCCCTAGGTTTGCTTAGGTCACCTTCATATATACAACCATTCCCTCCACTTACTGTGCATTTTCTCCTCTCACTCTCCATGTCCCAGAGTCACTGACAAAGCACATCCCCTTGTCCACCAGATCTTACTTCTATTCTTCCAGTAGTCATATTTGAGGGCAACAGCCCTGGATGGTGCTTGAAAAATGACTCGTATTTCTCACCCATAGCCTTCACTTCCCTCTCCAGCCTCATGTCCCTCTTTTATCCCCAATCATGAGAGAAAAATCAGCAACTAGATCACGGAAGAATGGTCCTGAGTCATAACAGGCAATGAGAAATAGATTATTTTTTTCTTTTTCGGAAAAGAGTAAGTTATAAGAAGTCAATGGTTCAACGTATAATGGATATGGTGTTCTCTTGGTCTGTAAGCTTTTGCTATTACAGAATAAAAGGAACGGGAACACTTCTCCGTCGGAAGGCATAGGCTGGTGTCTTTTGACCATTCTGTGCGGCCCATCGGGTGTTTTAAAAGGCAGTGGAACTAGGCAGGTGCTCCGAGGGCCACAACACAGCTCAGCATCTGTGATTCTACGCAGAACTGCTTTGTCAACTACGTTCCCTCTCTGGTTTCTGGTTTCCCATCAGACATAGGAGGCCTCTTTCAAATGTAGGTGTCCACTGGGATAATTAAGCAAGACAAATATATTTCAGAAATAAAAGCATTTAGTCCTGGACTGAGCTACCAACAGGTGGCAGGATGGCTCAGCAAAAAAAATAAATAAATAAAAATAAATAAATAAATAAATAAATAAAAGCATTTAGGGTTACATTTACAGTCTCATCCCTTTTCGTGCAAAATAGATACCTATATCGGATTCAAATTGCTGACCATTGCTGTGCTCACAGAAGCATCTGAATGCTATAAAATTTAGCCAGTGCACTGGGTTCTCATGTGCACTGCCCAAGGCTACATCGGCAAGAATGAGTAACACCATCTGTAAATGTGTGTCTAGATCCATGCCAGTGTCTACATAGAGAAATGCAAGAAGTTGGCTTGAGGATTTAAAAGGTTTATTCTTTTTTTTTTTTTTTTTTTT